CGAGCTGGGGTATGAGCTATACAAATGCTGTTTATTATTATCATTTTAAGGTACCATTACAAACTTTGGCAGTAGCCTACAGTGTCTGTGTTCTGAAGACCCCCACCGGTAGAGTGGTTAGAGAACACGACGGGTCTAGAAAAACTCACGTACAATAAAGGTGTCACAACGCGGTGGAATCAAGCACTGGTCAATTTTTTGGCATGCGGATTTATTGATATAATGTTAAAGCTTATTCTTTTATTCTATTTTCGATGTAAAATACCCATCTACCCTTAATAGAAATTGCGATATTTGCGATTAAAGGAGGTGAGGGTAGCCAGGTTTCAGAAGTAAAATTAGCGAAAAAATGGCCTCTACATTTTTGTAACATCTATAGCTTGAGAGTCCTTGGAAACTGCAAAAGTACATGATGTGTTGTGCCTTTAACCAACGTCTGTCTGTAAAATCCACACATACGAGGGGCATACCAAAAGATTTTTACCTGACCACGAAGGAATAAAAGTAGACAGCTGAAATTTGGGGTGAAATCCAACACTCATCTTCAGAGATTGCATGTAAATTTTGGGGAATTTCCCATGACTGGTTTTAACACCAGCTAACTGTAAGTAAATGGGGGTATGTTGTTCTCCAGTTTCAACATAAAAATGGAGAAAATTGAGCACAGAGCAGTAATGAAGTTTTTGTTCTTGCAAGGCAAGCAACAACGTGAAACTAAATTGTTAAAAAGCCTTGTAACCATGGATGAGACATGTGTCCATCACTACGATCCAGAGTTAAAATTTGTATCAGTGCTGTGGAAATTTCTCTCGTCTCCAACACGAAAGGAGGCAAAGGTGCAGCCACCGAGTGGAAAAATGATGCTATCAGATTTTTGGGACCAAGAAGGAGTGATTATAGTCGACTATCTTGAAAATGGACATACGATAACCGGAGACCATTATTCTAACAAGCTAAAAAAAATTACCACTGGCTATAAAAGAAAATCCCAGAACAAAGATCTGAAAAGGCATTTTGCTGTTTCACGAAAACGCGCCAGCACACACTTCAAGAAAAGGTGCAGAAACTGCGCGAGAATATGAGATTTTGCCATATCCACCCTATTATCCAGATTTAGCCCCGTCCGACTTTTTTATTCCCCAAACTGAAAAAGAAGTCAAAAGGAAGGCATTTTGAAAGGGATGATGAGTCCAAAGAAGCGGTAGAGGGTTGATTTTCTGACAAAGAGAAGATCTTCTATTCTCAGGTCTTTATAAGGTCATACACCGATGGCAAAAATGTATTACTATGGGAGGCGACTACTCAGAGAAAGATTAAGGTTAGTGCCAAATTTTAGCTTTCTACCTTTATCCCTTCATGGCCAGGTAAAAACTTCTGGTATGCCCCTCGTATATTATGTGTTTTTGAAAGTACGTGTAATGTGGTGAACCAAAAACAAAAGTTCGAAAAACATTTCAAAACTGGAAGAAAAAAACGTCAAAATAATGAGATGTCCTTGGGAAATTTCCAACAGCAAGACAATGAACAATATTCTACTTTACCACGACAATAAGCATGTGTGGGTTCATGTTGTGTTTTTTTTTCAAAAGTTTTGGTATTATAAGTGTTGTCAAGTGATCTTTCAGAAAATATTCTGTGGAGATGAACAGTGTTTATTGCTCAGCAAAATCACTTGATGACATACGTAAACACAAACGCTCCTTAGATCCACCATTACCTCACACTGCAGTACACCACATGCGAATAAAAAAAACACCAAAAAACAAACAAACACACACACACACAAACACACACATGTACAAACACTCAAAAAACGAAAGAGACAAATAACAGACATATAAACTGACAGGCAGACCCACAGACAGACACACAGACACACAGAGAGACACACAGACAGAATAAGAGGCAGACAGACAGAGAAGGGGGCTGTGTGTGGAGGAGGGATGATAGAAATACAAAAAAACCCAGACAGGCAGACAGAGAAAAGTGTTTAGGATAAAAGATGACAAGAGTCACACACAATAGAGATATCAGACGCTAGAGAAGCCCACCACCTACTCGTCTGTGTTCACTGGCTTCCTTAGTTCTCGCATCCAACTACCATAGCCCTCCTTATCTATTTTTACGTTGTTTTCAAAGTACTGGTCACTTGTAAATGTAAGCTGGAGAATAAAAACATGAATAATATAATAAAAGGTGTTTGTAATTGACAGTGCGGATACACATCTTAGTGAAGAATGTAATGGCAAGTCACATTCATTAGCAAACCACAAGCCAAACAATGTGTCTATGCTTTAGATCTGTACACTAACATGCTCTTTAAATTATGCAAACACATGACCAAACTAGTTCTTTCCCTAGTATTATATATTGGGTGGCCTTGTTCTGTGAGTTGAAAAGAAAACAAACACGCAATAAAAATTGTGTCTTTCTATGTCATGTCAATAAAGAAGGAAGCTGTTTAGACTGGGTTGTTTTTCTGGAGTGCTGTGGCTGAAACGAATTAGTTTGTAAATTCATTTGTTAAAGATGTTCCATTTGTTGTAATTGGTTTAAAATATTTTAGGGTGTATATAATCTGTCCTCCTGCTGTACGTATCCTTCTGCTCTCACATTGGCCCTAACAAGAACAGTCAAAGCAGAAATCATTTTGTGATAAAGATTTGTCAGCAAAGCTTAAAACATCCAAAAGCAATTACAATTATGGGAACTATTTAACAAATTAATTAGCAAATCAATTCATCTCAGCCACGGCAGTCCAGAGAAACAACTGTCCATTTTGAATTACTGTTATTGTCCTTCTGACGGGTGTGTTCTTCTGAGATCAAGGTAGATACATCGAGTCACATGATTTACTTGGTTGTTCATGGACATGTATTATGAATCTTAACAGATATCAAACTTCTTTACCTTTCTAGAAAAAGATACACTTGTCTCCTAGATTTCTAAACGGTTATTATTTACACCATTATTTGTGTAACTTCCTGGTAGGATGGAATATGTTTTTTTCTTAATTGAGCAGTAACTAAAATTGAATCTGGGGGAACCCCATAATAAAGAATGCACTTTTGTAACTTAATATTCTCAACAGATAGGCAGCAATTAAACAGCAAATTGTTCAACTATCTGGGAGCGAGCAAATGAGTAATTTCTCTAGCCATCTTAACGATTATTTTCTGGGTGTGATATACAAAGAAACAAAGTTATAACAATTACCCGATGCCGACTTTTGTTTTAACCACTTACGTTTGAGTAAAGCTCCTCTATATAGGTGTCATTTTTCACAAATTCAGGGTAACCAATCTTGGACTTGATGATTTCGTTCTGAAAATACAGTTCACAATAATTTTTAAAAAAATCTCTACGACACATTTGCTCTATGTTTACAACATTTACAAAATGTAAATGGTTTACATCTAATAGTCACATTTATTAGATTTATGAGAGCAGGGTGCAACGAGAACGGTTGTGATTGAGGAAATACACGTAAAAGAGGAATACTATGACGTGTTGCAAAGAAATAAAAAGGATGAAATATCCACTTAAGAACGATCATTAATGACTATCGAAATGTGACGTTAATGTGTACGTTAGGAAAGACTTTAAGAAAATGTTATATTCGAACACAACACGCCCATAGTTCGAAACAGACTAAACATTTCTGAGCTGAAAGTAAATTCTCATAGGTTACTGTTATTCAAGCCGTCATGAACTTGATGCCCAGGTGGATGATGCAGTTTCAATTCACGGTAAAAAGTTAACAAAAACATCGTTGTATTTAATAATATAAAATAATGTCCACCTTTTCCTGAGCAAGTCTTTTCGTGGCCGGGTCCATCCAAGAGAGTTCATTTACTAGTTCATCAAAAGCAGACTGTAGACCATCTATCATTTCCAGGGCCTATAAAAGTAGATTAAGTTAGAACATGGTTAGTGCAACGTTTATTGCGTCAGTATTTTCGTTGTGAATACCATAAAATCAAATCTCAAGACTCCACTTAGATTCGACATACCTTCATCCTTAATTCTTTCAAGAGTATTTTTTTAGAGGAGAGATTTCCACATCTGAAAGTCCCTATACGTTAATCCCACTCTGAATCTACTTCATCCAATAACTATTTTAAAGGCAGCCCTACGATGTTCCAGTGCATTTTGTGGCGCACCTTCGTCTTCTCTGTTTCTCTGTCTATTTCTCTCTCTCTCTCTCTCTCTCTCTCTCTCTCTCTCTCTCTCTCTCTCTCTCTCTCTCTCTCTCTATCTATCTATCTATCTCTATCTCTATATCGGTCTGTCCCTCTATTGTTCTTAAGCTCTCAGTGTTTTTATAATGACAATATCAAATAATAATAATAGTAGTAGTAATAATAATAATAATGATAATAATAATAATAATAATAATAATAATAATAATAAACATAATAATAATAATAATATCACAATTGCACTTATTAAATGCAGCATGCTCTATGAGCTTCACAATCATTCTTACACCCACAGACCTTAGAACACTCAGAAACAATGCAAGATGAGGATTAAATGCGCTCAAACACTACCAAACTAACAAAATGTTTTGCCGTCTATATAATTGTCTGGCACCCTTTCCATTTGGAAGAAGTGAAGAAAATTTGTACAGTCCTTTTCTCAAGGACACACCATTGGGCCTTTGACAGGGTTCGAACCCAAGACATTTCGATTGCAAGCCCAACAGCCTAACCAGTAGACCACGACGCTATCTTCTTGACGAAGAGCTAATGGATGTTAAACATTGCTTTCCTTTTCATGTTCACAGATCTTCTCTGAATTCTTTTTTACTACCCGCATAATCTTATTGAAATTGTAAAAATTAACCATATCATCGTGTCTGTTAGGAAACAGGGTGCAGCCAGTGCACAAAGATTCACTTTACCATAGTTTTGGCTTCGGGTTCAAAGTATCGCTCGACAAAAACTTTGCCGAGGACGAAGCCGGTTTGATATCTTGTGTAACGTGAGCACATTTTTTCCTGGGCCTCCTCTGTCTTGACACCGTACAGAACCTGAAAAGAAAACAATTGAACGGTAATATTATTTTGAGTATGTATAACTTAAAACGCCCCGAAACAAACATAGTTTTAAAATAGCACCTTCTGGATTTGAACATAGGTCAGAATCGGGTAGTATAGTGCAGTATGATACTGAATTAGGCATTTGTTAGTTCTTAAGAAGACAAGATAATCCATGTATCTGGATGAGAAAAACACCTAAAACGACGTACATAAGCTTTCAGACATCAGCAAGGATGAAGTCACCGCATTTTTAGCATTCGTGCGTTTTCAGCATTCGTGCACTATAGTCTACTGCGGGTCCAATCAAGCAAACCGTTTAGGCACCTGCAACTTTGGAGCAAAGTCTTTCAAAATGACATTTTGAATCAGTGGCACCTGCTAATGGACATAGGACTGTTTCGTGCCCTCCTGCCTACTTGAGATATAAGATCGTTTACGACAGTTGTGGGGGGTGGGCCATTCAATAAAGAAAGCTATTCTCACCCTCCTCCTTTCAAATGAAAAAGGGTCCAATTGTGATTTTGAAGGGGAAAAAAGACAAACATTAGGTAAAAAAAAATTTCGTTACACTCATTTACAATAATTGTCAAAATGAAATCAAATTCGTTACTCAAAGCTAAATATGATATATAGGGCACATAGATATTTTTGTTGCGCAGTGATTTGTTCTTCATATATTGGTTATTTTTTCATGTGTTTTGTGGTGATTGGCTTTTTAGAGTTATACTTTTCATTAGGCAAGCTGAGATAACTCCTGTTGTTTGTCTTTCTAATCAACTCGTTAAAATTGTCTTATTTGTTGCAAAGTTACTGAAGCCATGTGCGTATTTTGTTCTATTTCTTTCTCTGATTTTCTTTCCTTTAATCCTTCACTCTAGCACTGGTTTCTTTAGTCCATTCAATTTAAGTAGCCAAGGAATCTAAACTGGCTATTTCTGATGGTTCTGATTATATTTGTTTTTCACCTGCAATTTGGAGCACTTTTCTATCTGTTTTACTCTTTGTCAATGAGATACTGAGTTGTCTCCCTAAATGCAACATTTGGGCAGTTTCCTGTCTTCTCCGTTTGTCCTTATTTGGTGTCCAGCTTTTGCAACCATACACACAGATCGACCACACCATTGTCCAGGGTTCTCATCTTTGTGTTCTCAGTTATACTTCTGTTTGAGGAAACAGGTTTCTTCTGGTTGAAAGTATATGTGAGGCAGCGTGGGGGAAATCAGGCACTTGTCAAAAAAATGAAAGTGAAGAAACTGGCATTTTTCCGTAAGTTTGGGAATTTGTGTCGAATTTGTGTTTTTTAACTCAACACCTTTGGTGTCAATTAAAGAACACATTTCCGTATGGATTGTACTGAAAAACGTCAATTAAAAGGATAAAAATGGTAAATTTTCTGTTGTCAGGTGTTTTGTGAAAAAGAACCCACACCGGTGGAATAAAGCCAACTGTGTCTTAAAAACTCCCAAATAGCCTAAAGTCACGAATGTCCAGTAGTTTATTCGAACATTGATAATTCGCTGAAAGACCCATATTAACGACTATCGGCTTTTTTATTCCAACTTTTGTTTATTTGGAACTCGACTACTCCCCATTCAAACCAAATTCACAAGCGTTTGGTTTGGGCGTCGAATCAGGAATACTCGCAGCAGTCAACCAGCTCATTTCAGCAACTCACAGACTTTAAACGATTTTTTTTTCTCAAAACAAAAAGAAATCTGGGTTGATTGTGCAAACACTTTCAATATCCAAATACGCCTATTTCTGTTCATGAAACCTTCGCAAAGAAAAATTTGTTTAAACAAAAATTATACTTGTTCTATTATCTTATTTGAAACCACGCTAGACATTTCCAAATGCCTCTAACATGTTTGTATACTACATAAAATACGATATAAAAAAAGCCGCCGTGGCGCTAGCTCGATCACTTTTATAGTTGTAGAGAAAAAAAAGATAAATGAAAACGAAAATATAAGGGGGAAATCCGGGACATCAAAGGGCTACCAATAAACATTAATTCTGTGGAATCGTTAAGATGCTTTGATTCCATTTGCTAGACTAGGAAGGATTTCTTTATAATTGATTAGCCCCCTCGGCCTATCTCGCACTGAGTCACTTTTGTCCTGCCTGGTAACTGCAAATCTATCAATACACTCCCTATCTACTCTGCTTTTAAAACGATGATGTTGATAATGATGATGATGACGATGATGATGATATCAAGCAAAATTTTATGCCGTATAAGAAATCATAAAATTATTTTTCCTATTTACATATACTCAACGAAAAATAATCAAGACTTCATCTCTATTCTGCTTTTTTACAAAGAAGAAGAAGAAGAA